ATTTTACTCTTTTCTGAGACACTGACCTGTATCCTCATTTAAAAATGAAAACCACATCTTTATGTTATTAAATCTTTGTTTTGATCTATTAGTATTCACCAAAGTGCCATTTTATACAACCCCACACTGAATAGGCAAAGCTGGAGGTAACCATCTGCAGCTTTAGAGTCTGCGTTTGAATTGATGAAAAGAGCTTTGTGTTTTCATTGCCAAGTTTGATTCTTCCAGTCATTAGACATTCCCCTCAGATCGCATCAATGAAGCAGACTCTCTTACACCCATGTGTTAAATTTTCTTCTCCTCATGGTTTCCTTTGCCAGCTATACTCCAGAAAGACTGCTGGGTCTTAGTCACATTCTTCTCACAGCTGTGTTAAAAAAGAGCATCAGAGCGTCTTCCCAAAACCCATATGTGTATCTGGTCAGTCCCCTGTCTGAGGGTCATCTCACATTGTGGTGAGATTATTCAAAGATTCTTTCTTGTTCTTGAACTACACTGCTCAGATCATTCTGGGGAAGATTAGACCCTCCAGCGGGCACTGGAGAGTGTCCTGCACATTGATGTGAAATGCACCCCACTCCTGTACTCAGAAGCAGATTTGTTTTCCTTGAAGAAGAAGGGGATTCTAACCATTTAAGAAATGCTCTGTCCTTATTTCTTTTCATTTCTGTATTCTTTTCAAATATGTGAAATGCTGGTAAGAACAGTTTGTTTTTGTCTGTCTCATGGGTGGACTTGTTTAACAGCATCAGCAAAGAAATAAAGCTAAGTGAACAACTATGAAAGCACAGAAAGCATGTTCAGAAATGCTGGAGGGAAATCCAGGACTTACTCATAAATAGGTGTGTTCCACTAACAGTGAAAGTTAAGCTGCCAAAAAAAAAAAAATTGAAGAGGTAAAGCAAATGACTGTTATTAAAGATAATATTTCTTTTATGAGAGACAATAATTTCCTTTGATAAAATTATCTACTTATCCACAAGATAGCTTAACTTTCTCTTGCATTTCATTGACTGAAATATTTTATCCACATCTACAACTTCCGTGACTTCCTCTTCAAAACAAACACATCCAAAATCAAAAGAAAAGATCTCTTCAATACACAGTTGAGGATAAAACAAGTAAGAATTTCTATTTTATATCACTTCTATATTTTCTTTGCTCATAATAAGAACTAACTTGGCAAAGTGTACAAGCAGTATACTTATCACCATTTGTGCATATTTTCATATGTTTTAGCATTGCACTATTATTTTGTGGATCTGTGTTTGCTTTTAGAGGTTTACACAGAAATTCTATATGCACATCCTCTGCTACAAACTTGCATACACAAGCTACATGAGTGTGCAAGCATGACATGTTCACATACACAGGGCTAAACTTTAGTGAGCTAGAATTATCACATTGAAAGACAAAATAAAAACCTTCAATAGAGAAATTGCATTCAAATTTCTCCCAGCTTCAAAGCTATTGTTTCTGGAAAAAATACATCAATTGGCTAATATTGATTGGGTATTACACTATAACCTCCTCTGATCTCACTGACATCAGCAGACACTCCTCAGTCCCAGAGGTTCCAGCAGGAAGGACAGTTTTAAAATATCTTGCTTCTTCCAGCTCGTGCTGGCAGAAGCACTAATTAATTCACAGGCTTTTCCAGCCACCTTCTCCAGGTCAGTCCCATTTCCCTTTTGGGGCTGCACCAGCTGGCTCCAGGCTTTTCCAGCAGGACCAACTTGCAGGGGGCCTGTGGCTCTGTGCCAGCACTCCTGGAGAATTGTATGCTGCTGCCCTAATTCTTTGTTTGTAACAGAGAAATATAAGCAATAACTAAATATATAGAAAATTATACTCATAGCCATTCTACAGAATATGCTAAAATATTATGTATCCTACAGATTGTCATAATTTCCTAATGAATATGTATATATATGTGTTTAGATATATATATACACACATGTAACAGAAAAAAATATATATTTACCAACACCGCACAGTTACAATTTGTATTTGCTTTATAAACTACAATATTGCTCCCTTCAAAGTCAGATCTGTACAGATTGTTTAAAAATCAATTTGGATGCACATAAAAGCTGTTAAAAGCCGTGTGGCCACGCTCTGACCATCAGTATTTTCTCTTTCACACCACCACCCCTGCTGGGATTGTGAATCATCTTCACAGGCAAGAGTACACAGTTGTAATTTACTTATCACACTGCAATGAGCTGCTGTGAGACGTTCCCTCCACTTCAGTATAAACAGAATTTTACTATATCCAAGTTCACTATAGGCAGATTCCAATATATCCTTCTTCTGGCTCACAGCTGCTGTTTCATGTGGAATGGGATCCAGAAATTTTTCAGATGCTTTGTGTCCTTATGCAAAACACAGGACCACTGCTCTGACTGAGATCCTGCTCTTTGAAAGCACCAATCGCAGGTCAGTTCCTTATTAGTTACGCAAATGGATGAAATCCTGGCAATACCATGGAGAAATTACACCTCTGTATTTCAAACTCAGCATACGATACTGATTGTAAGCACTGAAGTTTATAAGAACGTTTAAAAATTTCTTCAGTGTTGTCAAAGAACAGATTATCAAAGGCACAGTGAACACTAGTAAATTACAGATTCCCAAATATGCAGTACACCAGCTCAACATTTTTAATTATTCTAATTATGTTCTTTCTTTATGAAGCTCATAATTATTTTCCTCTTCCAGTTTTTAACTGTGAGTACATTATTCAGGTGTTTTACTGACTAACACTGAGAAACTACTTTATACAGCTGTTAAAAAATTTCCCTCATCTGTCAGAATCCAATTTTACTTGGACATTTAAAAAAAAAAGGTAAGTTAAGAAGACAGATACTTTAGAACGGCATTTAGGCTATGAATTCTAGTGTTGCACTTTAAATTACAATAAGCACTCTTTTAAGGCAGTGCTAATGATTAATATTACTGCAATTAATACCAAGAAGCCTTTCAGCCGACAGGTTTTTAAATTGTCAGTTCCTTTTTGAAATGCAGAACATCCTACATGTTCAAAATAAAAAGCAAAGCTAACAAATGAGTTCCTGCCTAATTGCCAAACACTGATTTGTATGAAGCAGTTGAGGTTACAAAGAAATTGGGAATTCTCAGCCCAGTTTCCCTGCTGATGAGTAAGAACTGTCTGTGTAGCTCTCCCAGAGGTGTCAGAGGAATCTCTATAGTGTCACACAAGGGTTCTTAGCTCAAAGTAAACACACTTTCCACAAACTCAGCTGCTTAATCTGTTTGCAGGTTGAATTATAAGATGGGGGTGGATGACTCTGGGTGCTGGGAAGACGCACAGAGCCTTTCCACAGTTTCTTGATAAAAAGGGCATGCTATTGTCATCAAAAGACTTCACCCAATTGTTTAATTTTGCTATAGGCCTGATCTTAGCAATAATGAAAACTAACTTGACCAAAATTTTCCCAAGTAGTTGAGCATGTTAAATTACATAAAGTCTTTTCACTGTACCAGTCCATCACCATTACTTTAATTCAGGTTGTGTCTGCACTTCTTTTACAACCACCCGAGTTACATGGGATTAAACAAGGCCGTTTCCCTGAACCCCTCCCCCCGCCAAAGCAACTTCACTTCAGTATTCCCAATCTACAAATAAAAGGAAATGAAATGAACAATAACTTTAAGGTTAAACAGCACATAGAAAAGTTTAGCCAATATTCTCTTTTATATTAGTATAATTTAATCACAGAATGAATTACTCATTTTAATCACTAATTTATCAACAAATCCAGTGAATTGCTGTGTATATATCTGGAGATATAAACTCCTTAAGCACAGCTCAAGATTTCTCTGTATCACACAAAGCACACAGGCAACATTCAATACATAATAAATCAATATAAATAGCCCATATTATCAAAACTATACTGGAAAGGGACTCCTAGATATCCTTTAATTATTTTTATAGGTTTATTTTAATAAGCATGCTTAATGTACCTGGTGAATTTTCAAATGATCAGAATATCGAGTTGAATAATACTCACCCAATCACAGGGGATTTTAAAGTGATGGCAGAAAACATTTATTTTCATATATATATCTTGACTATGTAGCTACAAATAAATTAAAAAATATAACTTTTTTTTAAACAGGAGTACTAAGTAGGTTTTTTTCTTTTAAACAGGGAGAACTTTTTGGTCATTACAGTGTATTATAAGCCAGTTTCTAGCTATTCTGGAAATTAACTGCAGATATAAAGTTTAAAGAGAAATATGGAATGATGGGAACATTTTGCCCAGTTAAGTATCGACAATCTTGGAAGAGTTTGAAAGGGGTATTTTGCAGCTGATGCATGTAATGCATATAGGAGAAGTGCCAGTCTATGAAAAGGCAAGGCCTACACAGTTGCCTATGTCCCAGCAAGCAGAATTTCAAAAGTTCATATGCTAGTAATAACAGTCATGACAATAAGGACTTCAGAAAGTTTTGACGTTTAATAGCCTTTTAATAGGGAGTCTTATGATGGGAAACAGTACAGACCATGTTCACTGATTTCGAGACTTCCTACTGATTTTAGAGAGATTTTGAAGATGGCCCTACACAACCTTACCAGCATTTAGAACAGCGTGAGAGAGATACCTATCAGACAAAAATAATAGATGAGAACCTTAATAATATTCTACCACGCAATTATAAAGGCCAATACTGTGTTGCCATAGGATTGCCATGGGTAAGAAGACAGTGAAAACCATTCCTGGGAGATGGAAACACTTTCACTGTGCCTTGCACCTCTAGAAAGCACACTGACTTGCACAACACCATATAACTGTTTAAGCAGTCAAATTCACAATTAAGTAAGAAGTTGAACTGTTGACAAAGTGGGAATTGTTTTAAAGGAACCTTTCTGAGCACAACCATGCATTCAATCACAGACAAAATACCAGAAGAAATGATGTTTCATTTAGTTTTCAACTGCAATTTTTCTTGGAAAAAGGCAAGTGACTTACTTCTGAACTTTTTCATTGGCCTCCCGTGAAGCCTCCAAGGCCTTCTGGAGCTTCAGTTCTGTGTCCTTTTGCTCTGACTGTGCTCGCTGCAGTTGGGCTGCCAGTTCTTCAACTTGGCCATACAGAAGGGTCACAACATCATCCCTGCTCTTCAGTCCACTTTCAGAGGTACTAAAAGTACAGTTATGCTGATCCTTCAGACTCATTCCTTGAGATAAGGATTTGTGTAAGCTGGAAAAATAAAATCATACCTTTTATTAACTCTCAGCTTAATGCTGAGCTGCAAGAGTACTACACTCAGGTCAATTAGTACTTTTAATATGATGATACATGGATGCATATGCGCTAATACCAGAATATGTTTTATTTCCAAGGTGACAGAAAACAAAAAGAACATACTATTTCCACACGGGTCTTCTAAAAGCGTATAAGAGCTATTAGAATAAAAAAAAAATCAAAACAAGTGTTACTAAATGAAAACTTAAAAAGCAGTACTTTTCAATTGCAACATCTTCCCTATACTATCAATACCCAATTTAAGCATTGCTTTCCTATAAGATGTAGCAAAAAGTTGGTATTGTGATTTACATAAAGTTGAATTAATCAGTGTGAGTTACTGAGGTGTTATTACCTTGTGTTACACAGCACTTTTAGCAAGCAGATTCACCAGTACAAAGGGTTTACTTGCAAAATAGCATATTTTTCAATACAATGACAGGAATAAAAATGCTGCAATGTACTAGAACAAAATAATTACATTAGCTGGATTTTTTTAGAAATACAAATGATCTGCACATGCTAATCAATTCTAAAGGCCCTCAGTCAATATTCTGAAATATTCAACTGAAATATTTCTTGATGCTGGTTTAAATAAGCTAGTAATACCTATACTAGAATACTGTGTCTTTAATAGCCTCTTCACAGTAGATACATATAGGTTACCTGCCAGCATCCAAGTTTTATCCCTGGGCATTTCAATATCAATAGTGTCCTTCACCATAATAACCATAATTTATTGCAAAGACATTTATAATCCACTCTTTTGGATTCACTCAGGCAACAAGTCAGACACATGTACCTGCTACTTCACACAGAAGTGCCAAAGATGTATACTCAATGGATTCAGTTTTATAGATGATTTTGAGGTATACTCATGGAGATATCAAATCATAAACCATGAAACTAAAAATCTTGCAGGGTATAAACAATGAATACAGTTGTACAAATTAGAATACAGTGCTGGGTGCCTGGTACTCGACTGCCAGAAAGCTCTGGACAAATCAAAGGGAGATCAGAAATTAGAAATGAAATGGAATAGGGACCTAAAGGAATAGATTTATAAGAATAAGAGAAATAAATATGTCTGGATCAGCTAACAGTAACTATGGAAGATGTGTAAAAAGAAGGATGTTAGACCAACAGGTTAAACAACAACCATAAGTAATGAGAAGAAATTGTAAAAAGGGTGAAAAAAGATTGAGCATCAGGAAAAAAATCCCCCCAAAAGCCTATTAGTGTGTGGAATTATTTCTCAACAAATTACTAAATAGCCAAATGCTTGAGGTATTATGGTGAAATGGCAGAAATCACATTAATATATAATTACTAAGGGAGGAGCCTGCACTAGCAGACTCTGTGGAATTAGCAGTAACTGTTTCCCATCTCTAACATCCATAATTTTATAGTGAATTTTACATCACTGGAGAACAACATTAGTAGTAGAAAAAATTCATGGCGGACATTTACAACAAAAGTGATGGCACCAGAGTATCACAGTGAGCAGCATGTTTAGACAAACAATTGAAGTTATTTCAATACAACTTCATGTACACCAGAAGCTGTTGCTGCGCTGGTGAGCATGACTTGTGATCATCTCTGTGACTGAAGACCATGTAAACATCAAACATTATTTCAAGTGTGGTTTTCTAGAAGCAGTGCAGACTGATTATAATACTCTAGGCACGTTCTGAGTGATGGGTGCTAGTGTGCAAAAGCATATTTTCTTCCTTTCCAATTTATTAAGCCTTTTGTATAGGAAACACCCTTCATTTCATCAGGCTACAGAGGAAAATCATATACAAACTAAAATACAATATACACGGACAAGCAAAATGTGGATGAACTAATAGAAATCTAGAAGCTCAAAGGTCAGAGTGTTGATATGTCATTACATCAGCTGCCTGAGGTTGTCTGAAAATAATGCAAAGAACCTTTTCAATGAAATGAAGACATATTGAAAATACAAATATTTATAAAGGGATATGAAAATGCATAGAACAGACTCATTAACAATAAAATTATTTTAATAGTTGCACATAAAATTTACTGACCAAAGTTCCACTATATGGTGAAGCACCAATCACCATGGAAAAATACAAAGACACGCAAATAAAGCTGAAAGCAGGATACTGAAATACCACTAATGTCCTCTTATCAAACACCTGAGACAAGGTTGAAAGGAAAAAAAAATTGCTCAGAAGTTAAACCCTTCAGGGGATATATGGGTCCCTGATTTTCAAAAAAATTGAGAATCCAAATATTCCAGCTTGTTCATTGCCTAACACAGCACCTCAGTATTTTTCTCCAGAAGGTATGAAAAATATAGTCATTTATTTAGACTCTAAAATATTGGTCCTGTGTGACTATGACTCGTCTTCTTCAGAAAGTACTGGCCCAGAACAATACTGCATGCAATACTACCATTACATGCTTTCTCTCAAAAAAGATCACATTTGAGTGATCAGTAGATTCTGATATGTATCATTTTGTAAGCCAGTGTAAAGGCACTGTGGTTGATACATTTTTAACACTTTTTTTTTTCTTCAAAAATGTGCAATTCCAAGATTCCTGCCAATATATGTTTTGGTAAAATGCTTTTATTTAGTTCCTTTTCATATTTATTAATTTGAAATTCCTTTGTTAATGTCCAGCAAATTATTTCTCCAAAAAATATTGATGCTATAAACCAAAAATAAATGGGAGTCCCAGGCCTGAAGAACGGTTCATTGAAACAGCAAGCCTTTCGGCTTTCTATGGCAATGCAGGCCTAACCCTTTCCTGCTAGAGCCTGGATCTGATAGCCTCAATTAATGGGCCCACCCAAAGTGTGCCCAGGCAGGAGAAGAAAAAGTCATATGTGATTATGTGACTTATGTAACTCCTGACCAGACAGATAGCAAGAGGTTTCTTCACTCCCCAAAGTCAGAGCGGCTTCAAGTCCGCTAAAAATTTCACCAGTTATAACTTTTTCCCAAGGGACTTGACTTTGGCTGAAAATCAACTCTATGAAGTGCTGCTCTTATAACACTTCTTTCCTTGCCAAGCACACTTCTGCTCAAGGTGGCAAATGATTTTCCACCTAAAGCAATTACCGAACAGCATAGAGAAATGTTCCATCTAAAGACATAAAGAAAAAAAAACAGTAAAAAACAAACATTCCTGCCCTTCCCCGCAGCAAACCTAGTGACAAACATTATATTCAATGTTTCCAAAGGCATGTAGGTTTGGAGTAGTTTTCACCAGAAGTGTGGCTGATACTCAAGTTTCTGAGATCCCTCAGACTTCAACCTGCACCCAGGATGGTTTTGAAGAGGGTCCCTTCATGTTGCTGAGTACTCAGCTAGGCCATTGATGACTTGGAAATAGGGCCTCAGAGCTGCTCTTAGCAGACACTGCAATGAGCCAATATTAAAAAAAAAAGCCCATATGATCTACAAGGACTTTGGCACTAAACTGGTTTTGCTACACAGCACAGCATATAGAATGGTTGAATCTGCGTCACATGTGAGTGCATTTGACAGCTGTTAGACAGGCAACTAGATGGCAATACCCTACCATAGACAAATATTTTACTAGCCTGTGATTATGTGCTTTCCTCTGCAATTACAAGCATTAAGGTCACATCAACCACCCAAACATCACTCACTAATGCAACCAGAAGGCAGCAGCTGTGTTAGACTCCTCTATAGAGCAGAGGCCACAGACCCTGTACAACACTATAACATTAATGCACATCATGCATAATGCAGCCTATATTCTGTGCATTCTTATGGTCCATCACAGAGTGTCTCTATCTCATATGTGGTGAATCCATTTATTCTAGCCTAGGCATCCTCTGTGTTTTATACTCTTTCATCAGGCTCAAGGAGCACTTGTAGGACAGAGCCCACTACTGATTTGTCTTCTCTGCGTTGGATGGTGATTTTATAGGATAACAGGTTGACAGATTAGAGCTGATCATGAATGCCCTTGTGCATGTCCATACCATCCAAATTCAGTTACATTTGAATTTGGATCCACAGTGAGCAACAGATGAGTTCTAGCCTCCTCCCACGACATGATCTGGAGAAAACCTGCAACCTGTGTAAGTGTCCAAACAGTTTGGACACCGTATGATTCAAGCGCAGGCTCAGTATTATTTACAGAGTGAATTTGAATGGACTATCCTACATCTTAGAACTTCCACTCTTCAACAAATTCAGATTAAAGGCCATTCCAAACACATATTGCCTCTTTAGGCCTCAGTTTTCTCATCTTGAAAATGAGAACAATCACACTACTGACCTTTGCAAGGTGGTCTGAGCTCCACTACTGAAAAGTATATTTGTCACTGTTAAAACACATAGATGCAGCACAATTTGAATCCAGGCCAGAACTAAAACCAGACAGTTTTCTGATGACACCAGGCAACAAACATTCTCTTTTAGGCCTCATTTTCATTCTCCAGGACCACCACAGCACCCACACCATTCCCGGGACTAACCTTAGAAAGGTAGTAAGAACCTGGGGCATGTGATGTAATCATTTAAGCTTTTCCTGAGGTTGAAAAACCGCTGAGACATGCATGCTCTCCACAAGAAATAATTGGAAACCATATCTCCATTACAAACCTTTCACTTACGGCATTGCACAGTAATCAAATGTATGCAGTTCAGTTCATGCAGCCACTGAGCACATTTTTCAGATAGCACAGACTCGCATGACAACAGTATATACATGACCCCCAGCACCAGTTATCATTCCTCACATTCGCCATATCAGCAAATGGTCCAGAACCCCCAAAAAATAGAGTACGGATGAATAAAGTTTGATTGAAATAGAATCCAAGCAAAACATACATGATGCTGATAAGTAGAAGGAAGATTTTTGGAGATTTTTGCAGCTGTACTGCTATCCTCTTTGGCTGGAAGCACAAAACCACAGTTAATCACTTGAGGCTGAGATATGTTCCT